TGCAAGAGTTTCATGGACTGCGGTCGGTTCGTTTTCAAAATGTGGCTCTCGCCCTCGCCGAGCACATTCGTTTTAAACTGTTGCAAGAGTTTCACGGATTGAGGGCGGGTTGTTTTCAACATGTGGCTCTCGCCTTTGCGCCGCGCGCATTCGTTTTTAACATTTGCAGGAGCTTTACGGATTGAGGGCGGGTGGTTTTCAAAATGTGGCTCTCGCCTTAGCGCCACGCGCATTCGTTTTGAACATTTGCAGGAGCTTCACGGATTGAGGGCGGATGGCTTTCAAAACGTGGCTCTCGCCTAAGCGCCACGCACATTCGTTTCAAACATTTTGCAAGAGTTTCACGGATTGAGAGCGGGTGGTTTAGAATAATGTCGATTTCGCCTAAGCGCCGCGCACATTTGTTATCAAAGTTTGCAGCACCTTCACGGATTGAGGGCGTGTGGTTTTCAAAATGTGGCTCTCGCCTTTGCGCCTCGCACATTTGCTTTCTAAACTTTACAAGAATTTCATGGATTTCCATGATCAGCGTGCCAGAAGTGTTTTGGAAGGTTTCAGGATTATGCGGGTGCAACACTTGTGTTGATTCGTGGTGTTGAGGTCCTAAAATAGCGTTCTGGCACGATTCCGGATCGTTAAGACCCAGCAGTCAGTTTGATCCGTGGTGTTGAAATCCCGAGAACCATATTTTGCGGCATCCTTCAGGGTCTTCACACGCTTGCCTTCCAACGAGGCAGTTTCTTCAGTGGAAATGAACCGTTGCAGGGGCCTATGAAGAGGGAGCTTGGAGGGAGGGTGAATTCCAACATCGTTGATGACTCTTGGGTTTACGCTGGTCCTCCTCCTCCTCGTCCTCCTCCTCCTCCTCCTGTTCCTCCTCCCTCTCCCTCTCCTCCTCCCTCTCCTCCTCCACCTCATCCTCCTGCTCAGGGCGCCCCCTCATCACACTTCATCGCTGCGGCCCGCACCCGAGGGCCACGAAGAGCTGCGGGGCCAAGAGGCCACGGGCAGCCGACTCGGCCTTTCGGCCCCAGCCCAGCACTCTTGTGGTCGGCGGCCGCGAGAGCTCCAAGCGGCGGTGAGCAGGCGAGGGACACACCGCAAGCAACTCGGGCACGGCAGAGCCGGACAGAGCGGAGGGAGGCGCGAGAGAAGCGGAGACCGCCAGCCCAGCCCAGCACACGAGGGCCACGAGGGACCAACGGACCGGGCTAGAACGAGGATAGATCCGTTCCAGAGCCTTCCGGAAGGCTCCCAGAGCGCTCCAGAACGCTCTGAGAAGGCCGCGGTGCCCGAGACATCCTCACGAGCCGCCGGACCTCCGAGATTCTGGATTGATCTCCGCCCGAATTCATCCTCGTCTTGGCTTCGTCTCACGCGAGGGGCCACGAGCAACCCCCTCGATCCCTCGGAAGGGACACGAGGGGGCCACGGGGCCGCGGGGTCACAAGCGACCGGCGGTATCGACCTCCGAGCTCCGCCCCCGTGCACGGGGCCACGAGCAGCCGACTCGCGCCCCAGAGGCCCGCCCAAGAAATGCGAGGGCCATTGCGTGAACCACGGGGCCACAGACGATCGTCGTCGCCGTCGTCGGCGGCGGCGTTGGCGGCGGCGTCGGCGTCGTCGCTGTCGTCGCTGTCGTCGCTGTCGTCGCTGTCGTCGACGGCGGCGTCGGCGTCGGCGTCGGCGTCGGCGGCGGCGGCGGCGGCAGCGGCGTCGGCGGCGGCGGCGTCGCCTCCGCGCCTCGCCTCCGCGCCCCGCCCAGCGACCCACCCCGCGACCCCGGCGGGTGTGTATATATGCGTGTACATGGAATATATGTACATGTACATGTATATGTATATGTATATGTATAGGTATATGTATATGTATATGTATATGTTTATGTATATGTATATGTATGTGTATGTGTATGTGTATGTGTATGTGTATATGTATATGTATGCATGCATGCATACATGCATGCATGCATGCATGCATGTATGTATGTATGTATGTATGAAGGTATGTATGCATATATATACTATATATGTATACCTATATATCTACCTATCTATCTATATATCTGTATGTATATATACCTACCTATCTATCTATCTATATATATCGAAATATTTATATATATATCTACATATATAGTTATACGTATATCTATCTATATATATACACATACGTATACATACATCTATCTATCTATACATCTATCTGTATATATATATGTATGTATGCATGTATGCATGCATGCATGTAGGTAGGTAGGTAGGTAGGTAGGTAGGTAGGTATGTATGTATGTATGTATGTATGTGTGTATGTATATATGCATGTATATTGTAGTGGCCTCCGGCCAGTGCCGCCGATCCGGGGCGATTTCGCTGCTTTCGGGGGCAGCCCAGCGCGTCTCTTTTCCTCCTCCTCCTCCTCCTCCTCCTCCTCCTCCTCCTCCTCCTCCTCCTCCTCCTCCTCCTCTTCCCTCGTCACCGTCATCTTTTCCTTCCTGGTAGTCCTCGTCCCAATGTTGTTCCTCCCTCCGTGGGTGCCCGGGGGGGACGGTTCAAAAAAGGGACAGGAGTTAGGTGTTTTGTTTCAAAGCGATTTGGAGGGGGAAAAAAAACAGGACGCATGAGGGAGGACAGCAGGAGACGGTCTCCCCGGCATAGCGAGCGTCCCCCGCATAGCGAGCTTCCCCCGGTCTCGATTCCTCTCTGGTCGCGCCTTTTGTCCCTCGGTCGCGACTCCCATCCTCTCTCAGTGGCGATCCTCCCCGGTCGGAAACTCCCCAGTCGCGACTCGCGACCCCCTTGGGGCCGGCCTGGGGCTCCACCCGAGGCCCGGGGAGAGGCCCCGGGCAGAGGGCGCAGCCGCCAGCGTCGCGGCATGGCGGCGCCGTGGTTGTGTGATGCCGTCTGGTCGCCGCGCCTGGGCGTCGGGGCACTGGAGGGCCCCCTCCCCCCACGTCAGCCCGCGTCAGCCCCCCCCCTCCCCTCGCCAGAGCGAAGCTCGCCCCTCCCCTCCCTGCCCTGCCCCTCCCGAGCCCCTTCCGCCCCCCCGAGCACCCCCTTCCCCCGAGCACCGAAACGCGTCAGCCCACGTCACCCCCCCCCCCCCCTCCCCCCCCGAGCACCGAAACGCGTGCCTCCCCCCCCTCGCCAGAGCGAAGCCCCCCCCCCCACCTTCCCCCGAACACCCCCCCCTCCGAACACCGAAACGCGTCAGCCCACGTCAGCCCCTCCCCCCCCTGGCCAGAGCCCCGTCCCCCCTCCGAGCACCCCCTCCCCCGAGCACCGAAACACGTCAGCCCACGCCAGCCAGCGTCAGTCCCCCCCCCATGGTCCCGAGCGCCCCCCCCCCTTTCCCTTCCGAGCACCCCCACTCCCCGAACACCGAAACGCGTCAGCTCACGTCAGCCCACGTCAGCCCGCGTCGCCCCCCCCCGCCCCCCCTCGCCAAAGCGAAGCCCCCCCCCACCCCCAGCACCCCCCGAGCACCGAAACGCGCCCCCCCCCCCTCGCCAGAGCGAAGACCGCTCCCCTTCCCCCGAGCACCCCCCCCCGAGCACCGAAACGCGTCAGCCCGCTGACGCGCGTCAGCGCCCCCCCCATCGCCAGAGCGAAGTTCGAGCAGGCTCAAGCCCACGCTCTCAGAAACTCACACGCCGGATCGGCGCACACACATATATATATATATATATATATATATATATGTATATGTATATGTATATGTATATGTATAAGTATATGTATATGTATATGTATATGTATATGTATATGTATATGTATATGTATATGTATATGTATATGTATATGTATATGTATTTATTTCTATACACATGTATAAATGTGTATATCTATATGTGTACGTACACACATATGTTGATGTATGTAAGTATGCGTGGATGTGTATATATATGTATGTATATATATAGATAGATAGATAGATAGATAGACATCTATCGGGCGCTTCTTCTGCGTTCTTCTTCCCGGAATGAGAAGAGCCCCTCGCATTGGGGGGGGCGGTCGGCCGTGCCCGCCCGTGCGTGCCCGACGCTGGCGCCCGGGGCGCCCTCACCGACCCCCAGCAGACCATCCCCCTTCGATGGCGTGCCCCCCGCCTCGCCCCAAAACTTGAGGCGGGCATGTCCCTCTACAGGAGGAGTAGTCAAAAAGTCGACAAACAACTCGGGGGGCGATTTTTCTTTTATGTATTTTTGGCTATGTTTGAACATTTGTGGTGTAATTGTCATTGTTCGTTCACAATCCGCCTTCAAAATCCGCCTGTAGGGGGACATGCCCGACCTAACCCAAGATTTGTGTATGCGGCCGGAGGGGAGCTCGAGAGGCGAGGATGACGTCACGGAAGGGGAGGATAGTTTGCTAGGGGTCGGTTAGGCCGCGCCCGATGGCGCCCAGGCCCGGCCACGAGCAGCAGTGGAGTGCGCTGGTCCCGAAACGGGGCGGTGGCAGGCCGTGTGATGACCTGGCAGTCCTATGGGGGGCCTCGCCGCACGGGCCGCCACCCCACCGTCCTGGGGCCCTGAAGGGCCCCAGTCAGCACACGCTGTCCACCCAGAGACCCCACGCTCCGAAGAAATCGTGGCGGCGGGCTTTTGGCAGTTTTCGGCCGCCAGGGGCCCTCGCCGGGCCTCGGGACCGACATCATAACGACTCGGGACGAAAAACCGGCCCCGGGGAAGTGGTTCGGACCTATGGGGCCCACGCGTCGACAAAAATCAGAGCAGCCAGATGTCTGGGCATGGGGGACGGTTTCCACTACAGAAGGGGGCCCTGCAGCCAGCAGCCCTGCAGCAGATGAAACACGATCCGTGCAACCTTCGGGTGCGTCTTCCGGATGCGGCCAAAGTGCGAACCACATAGCCTTCACGCCCAACATACCTACACCGAACCGTGCTGTTGGCCAAAGGGCAGTCAGATGCCTGAACTGAATGTTGTTCCAGGCTCTGACTTCAGCGCCGCAGTCTTACGTTGCTTAGTTTGCTCTCCAAGGCGTCCGAGGCGATCGCGGAAGTGTTCTCGGACTCCCTGCCGGCCTTGCAATCTTGTGGCGATGCCATGACCTCAGCGGCTGGCGATCGTCCGATGTCGCATGTCGGCCGCGCGCGCAGAAGAGGGGCAGGAGGAGGGGGAGGGCTTCTTAGCAGCACCCCTGCCTCTTAGAGGGCGCGGGCCTTGTCCACAGGCTCAGGGCCGGCGTCTTCAAAGAAGGGCCGCCTCCTAAGAAGCCTCCCTCCTCCCCCGACCCCCTTGTGCGCGCCGCCGACCATGAGGGCCATGGTGAGAGCCCATATGGGTAGGGGCTCTCGCCGGATCTCGGGAACGTCAAACAACGACTCGGGCTGAAAAACTGGTCTCGGGGAATGGGTCCAGACTTCCGGGGGCCGCGCAGTGAACAACATCCCCACATCGGATCTCTGGGGGAGGTCCACCCAATCTTCTCGGGAGCCTCGCGGGTGGCCCCAAAGCGTTCTGGGGAAACTTGTGTCTGATGCGGGAGTTCTGGAGAGCGGAGTCCAATTCGGGCGAGGAGAACTACGGCCAGGGTGCTGAAGAATGAACCCCTCGTTTGGGAGGGGCTCCATGTTCCTTCATTGTTTCGCAGTTTGCCTTAGGTTTCCCTTTGGTGTTCGATGGGAAAGCGAAGTTTAACTTATGGAAAGAAGGTGCCTCGTTCCTTATTTCGGGTTCCTTAGGTCAACGCCCCGTCTGTATACACATGCATCGATCTTGGCCAAGCCCCTCCTGGGCCCAGCATCGGTGTACATGCCTCCCTGGCCAGGCCACCGTATATGCAACCATCCTGGACACAGGGTCGGGCCTGGCCAGAATCGGCGTCTGTGCATAGCTCTCATTGGGCCTCCTCCTCCTCCTCCTCCTCCTCCTCCTCCTCCTCCTCCTCCTCCTCTCCCCTACCAATCCTCCTCCTCCTCCTCCTCCTCCTCCTCCTCCTCCTCCTCCTCCTCCTCCTCCTCCTCTCCCCTACCAATGCTCCTCCTCCTCCTCCTCCTTCTCCTCCTCCTCCTCCTCCTCCTCCTCTCCCCTACCAATGCTCCTCCTCCTCCTCCTCCGCCTCCTCCTCCTCCTCTTCCTCCTCCTCATTGGGTCTCCTCCTCCTCTACCTCCTCCTCCCCCTTTCCCCAACCAATGCTGCATGGGGCCGAGCATCCGCTTTATCCAATCGAAGAACAAAAACACGACATAAACATTAGACTGTTGGCCCTCCGCGTGGATTTCTTTGATCCGCGCCAGGCCCCCCCCAGCGGGCCGCAGCGCGCCAGGGAGGGGGGTCCAGCTCAGATCCAAGAAGCCCATTCGGACCAGCAGAAGTTTATGTTTATGCCGTTTGTCGCTCTTCAGGAGTCGCAGGTCTAAATATCGTCCACTGGTGCGATCGGCTCGGTCCGTTGATGTGATCGGGCCAGCCCGATCGCGTGACTGGCCTGGTGGAACAGATCGACACACCCAGTCCGGAATCGACTTCGACGCCTACGTTGAGCTCGCAGACTTGTTCAGGACTGTCCGTAACGTGTGGGACCGGATGAAAGCTGGATTCTCCGACAGCGAAATCAAGCGGTGCCAGGCTGTCTTCGCGATGTACGACGCGGATGGTAGCGGGGACATCGACGACAAAGAGCTGATGAGGTTATTGAAGCACGTGGGCATTGAGTTGAAGACGAGGGAGAACCAAGCGGCGCTCACGGCGAAGCTGGCCCAGGCACGGAAGCTCGCCAAGGAAGCGGGCGTGGATGCCACGTACGGCCCGAACACCCATTCTTTTTGGGAGTTCGTGCAGTTGATGAGGATGGAGAGGACAAGCCGAGAGCGCGCCTATGAAGAGAAGGTGTTGAAGACTTCGGCGCAGCTGAGCTTTCTGCCCACGGAGATTGCACAGTTCCGTGAAGCTTTCATTCATTGGGCAAGACAACATAAGGAAACGGATTCTACACCGGTCGGGATCGATGCGAAACCCGAGTCGCAGGTGCAGGGTGTTGAGGATCTTCTTGGTGACGGATTCCAGGAAGGCGTATCCATGTTCTCTCTCATCAAGCTGCTCCAGAGCTTGGGCTGCACGGTGCAGACTAAGGATGAGCCGACATTGGCGGCCAGGATCGAGTCAATGAGCAGAAACGCGAAAGGCCAGCTTAATTTCGTAGGTTTTCTGCAGATGATGCGGTGGCTGCTGGACTCGAACTTTGGCGGATTGAACAAGGTTGTCGCAAGCAGAAAAGAAAAGGAGCAAAAATCCGCACGGCCCTTGTAGTCGAGCTACATTCCCTGACCATGCCTTTTCTTTGGGGCTGCTGTAGCTGGTATTGTCTGTGTGGCGATCTGCCGCGTTCTGTATCGGAGACGCCTGCAGCGAACCACCGCCGCCCCCTGCCTTGAGGAAGCGCCTGGTGGCCTTCGGCCAATCCTGTTACCTTGCTTGGGTCGTTGACCAGAGGCCTCTTAGAGACCTCGTGGCGTCTCATGGAGAGCAAATTGGGGCTTCTTCGAGGTCTCTCTGCTCCTCTTGGTGAGCATCAGGAGGCTTTCTTGGAGAGCATACTGAGGCCTCCTGGGAGCCTCTTGGAAGCTTCTTGGGGGCCTCGCCGTGGGCCTTGTGGACGCCCATTGGGGACCTGGAGGCGGCCCTGGGGGCCACCTCGGGGCGGAGGGCCCCGAAAGCCCCGCCGAGTCCCCCCCTCGGGGGCCCCTGCGGGAGCTCTCCCGGGGGCCCCGTGGGCGCCTCTTTGGAGGATCCGGGGCCGTCGTCGGGCGATCTTTGGAACTTCTTGGGCCGCCCTTGGACGCTCCCGTACACCTTAGGCGATGCTTAAGAAAACTTAAGTTTTCGGCCAGAGTCTCGAGTATTCTTAATTTCTCAATGTAAATCCCAAGATTTTAATAGACATGTTGGGTTTTATTCCATTTCTGAGACTATGAATTTCTTAACCCATGATTTCTTAAGCATTTCGCAGGGTGTAGATCCAGGAACATGGCCACGCGAGCACGACTTCCGAGACAGCGCTTGCCCGAAGGGGGCCTCAACCAGTCTCTTTCCCTCCTGTAGCCGCTGCTTCCCAACAGGGCTCCGAGAACGATGCCGTCCATCCGGCGGCGTCCGGCGGCACCCGGCAGAATCGTCCCGGCTGGTTCTGCCTGATGAGTCGCCGCAACTAGTGTCTACACGTAAGAGTGACCCTTCGCCGGAGTGACCTTTGGTGCGTCCCTGACTCCGGATCCGCCCTACTTGGGGAAATTCGTAAGCAGGGCTTGGAATTTCCGCCTTACTTTTCAAGCCCCGCTGATGCCAATTTCCGCCGCACTTTTCTGTTGCTGTTTCCGCCCTATTTCTGTGGATTTCTGCTTCATGTTATGTCGGGTACAGAAATTGCCGCCCTACTTGTTCGGCTTCTTATAGGTGGATTTCCGACGCAATTTTAAGTTGGAAAAAGAGCCAACGTAGGGCGGATCTGGAGTCAGGGGGGCCCATTGGGGCCCCCCGATCGCCGAACTCGAGGCGGCAGTGGCGTCTGGCTCGCTTGTGTTTGGCCCCTCCGTGAGCCCCAAAAAGCCGCGCGCCAAAGGTCACTCTTGCCCAGGGTCACTCCTGCGTGTAGCCGACCAATTGCACTCCTCGTGGGCGCCTCGTGGGCGCGGTGCTGGTGCCTCGTCGGCAGCGCGTGCGCTGGCTGGCACTTCCAGGCTTTCGCCCGAGAGTCGGCACCACATAGCTGGGACCACATCGATTGCACCATATCGCTGACACCACATAGCTCGCCGCATCTAGCTTGCATCGCATGCGTAGGTTGCGCCACGAAGCTTGCACGATAGAGCATGCACCACATATCGAAGACGCCTGCGGCGAATCACCGCCGCCCCCTGCCTTTTGGAATCGCCCATGTGGCCGAGCGTTGTGGCAGAAGCTCTGCCAAGCTATTGGACCATCTGTTCCCCCAACCAGTGTGGAAACCCTTCGGGGAACATTTGGGGGAGGATGGCGGGGAAGATCAGGAGGAGGAGGATGAGGAGGAGGAAAAGGATGATGATGCTGATGATGATGATGATGATGATGATGATGATGATGATGATGAGGAGGAGGAGGAGGAGGAGGAGGAGGAGGAGGAGGAGGAGGAGGAGGAGGAGGAGGAAGAGGAGGAGGAGGAGGAGGAGGAGGGAGCATCTTGGGAACCTCCGGGGGCACTCTTGGGGCCTCCTGAGATCTTCCTGGGAGCCTCTGGGAGGCATCGTGGAGGCCTCCCTCGGGACCTTTGAGGGCTTCTCGGGAGCCTCTTTGGCCGTCTTAGGGCATTCCTGGCCCGCCTGACGCGGTCGGAAGCCGGCTTAGGGGGCCTCTCTGGGCCGACTTGGGGCTCTCTGGGCGTGCTCCAGGGCCGTCTTGGAGGCCATCTTCGGCGCCTTGGAGGCCTCTTGGGCCGTCTTGGGGATCTCTTGGGGCCGTCTTGGGGGCCTCTTTGGGCGCTCGGTGGGGAGCTCCGCGAAAGTCTGCGGGTCGTTCGGGGCGTTGCAGCCGTCCCGGAGGCCATGCGAAACACCCGGGGAGCGCCAAGAGCGCCCAGGAAATTGGTGGTCCAGGCCCTTTTATCTAGATGTATGTATGTAAGTATGTATGAATGTGAATAAACATGTACTGTACCACCGACAGTGCACTGCGCATGCACCGCACATCTTTCACCGCGTAGCTTGCACCACACGTACTGCACTACATAGATTCTCCTTTCTAAAAGACTAATAGATTCTACCCCCCCCCCGGACTTATCAAATCCCCCGCGCGTGCTGCAAATTACAGATGATTCTGACCACATGTCCATCCTAAATATGAATTCATACCATCCCAGCCAAGCCGGGTTCCCCCCCCCTGCGGTTCCCTGGTAAAAAAACACTATGCGGTGACATGTTTCGTTCTAACATATCACTTTTTCACGAATCCCTTGCAAAAAATGGGACGAAGTGCACACGCGCACGTCGTGGCGCGCGCATGCCGA